GTTTCACGATATTTCCCACGTGATTAACATTTATTGTCTTTTTTATGTTTATTTAATATTAAAAAGGAGAAAAATGGGCCCAGCCCACCTCGGCCCATTTGGGACGTTGCTCTTCTGGCGTCTTACAGAAGTTTCACGATATTTCCCACGTGATTAACATTTATTGTCTATTTTTATGTTTAATTAGTATTAAAAAGGAGAAAATTGGGCCCAGCCCACCTCGGCCCATTTGGGACGTTGCTCTTCTGGCGTTTTGCAGAAGTTTCCTGTGCGCACTACCGACAAGTCGAGTCACGACATCGGCGACGACCTCTCACCGTCCGTGTTACCAAAAAATATCTATCTAGCCCCAGGTTTTAAATATTATATATATTTTCTCTTGGTGTTATATATATATACACATATACATATATATTTATATACATATATATATATAATAACTGCATGGGCCCCAGAAGAATTGGCACACCTTTCAATTAAAGCGTGTGACGTCGCCGGGCCCCGCATTTGGTTGGTGGGACACGATGCATGGTTTAGGTTCGACACGATGCCTACTGGGCCCCCATGGGCGTGATTCGGTCCAATCGAATTAGATGCGGCTAAAATTTTTTGATTTCATATCTTCCATATGATACGACGTTGCTAACATGTTTAGTTGTGGTGGAGTTCACGAGTATGTTTGAGAATATATTTATGTTGTTGATATATATTTGAAGAAACAAAAAAAGTTTAAGTTAATGTGTAGTTGTGAAATATTTTGGGTGCTTGATAAGCAATAGATGAAAAATATATTTTAAATATATATTAATATTTTTGTAAAATTATATTTTAAGGGTTCATTTGAATATTATGTGATGAATTTATCATTCTAATATTTTTAATATAGATATAAACTAATAATTAATTAATTAATTAAAAAATTAGTATCATTCTTGATATTAGCGATGAAGCAGACAAACAACTCAATGAAACGAGTGGTGCGACGAAACAAGCGATAGGGTGGACTTATTATAGAAAGAGTCGATGACGATAAAAATTAAGAGAATGAGAAAGAAAACGAAGGTTAGGATTCTAATTATATACTAATAATTTTATGATTTTACAAAATGTCACAGGGTGCTTTTAAATTTAAAAAAAATATTAACATCATGTAAATACTAAATTACTAATATTATCATAAGATAGCATCGACATTTAAGCATTTACAATATAACATCCAGGTCAAATATGATTTTAAATAATTATCAAATATTAATGTACACATTTATAATATATTTCTAAACATAATAAATTATAAATTAAAATATATATTTTATTGGCTTTTGGGTCCTCACTAGCAAATCAAAAGAACTCTTACTAATGGAGATATTGACACTTCAGTCTTAAAGCACAGTTGTGCCAAAAGAATGATTAGGTTTTGTGACCACACCATCATCATCATCATCACTCAGCTTTTGAAGTAGGGTTGTAGAGTGGTCAAGTTGCATGTGATGGATGTTAAGAGGATCCAAGAAAGTGCTACACTTTCTTCCATGTCCTTTGTGCAATTTGCAAGTTTCCAAGATAACCTCTTCAAAGAGCTCCTACAAATCTTCAACCTTTTTATTTCCCCATGGCTCATCACCCACTAGCATCACTTACTCTTAAACTTGGTGGCCAATTTTATCTATTGGACTAATTGTATATTTACATTTTTATTATGCATTTTATATTTTCGATAACATGTTTGATAACTTCATTATCTGCATGCATTGTAAATCATATTTGTCTTCATGATCATACATTCTATGCCTAATAGTATATATGATTTGAACTGATCATCGTCGTATATAATATTTTTTGACACTAATAAGACGCAAAAAAATTAAGTTAATAGATAGAATAAGATCTATTTATTTTGTATTCTCAATAGCATGTTGTATTCTTACTTTAAATTAATAATAACAACAATAATAATAACAACAACAACAATATTTTTAATGCGATATGAACAAATTTTAAATAAATTATTTTGGTCTCCATGATTAATCATAAAATCAAAATAATAGTATTCTTACTTTTTAATTTGCCTTCCAAAGTTGGAAGATTTGGATGAAGAAAGAATGCATGACCATTATTCTTAGAAATTTCAACATTTGGGATATCAGAATAGGTTTGCTCCAAGAAAATATTGTACAATCATCTTGCAACAAACACAAAGTTAGAGATTGTGTCTTTGTTGAATAAAGGTTCACTTTGTGGCATAAAACTAATATCTAAAATAAAAAACTTTAGTCATACACATATAATTTGTCATAGATTACCTAAATTTAGCTTAGCTTAGTCATGTGACACCGAATAAAATATCACTATCGTCGCTTAGAATAAAGTATTGTACCATTATCGTGTTACGACCTATCGACTTAGATTAAGATAAAAATTAAACATCGAATAAAATACCATTATCGTCGCTTCACAAAAGCTCGAAGTAGATTGAACAAGAAAAAAAATAATTTAAGAATACTATTAAGTCACTAAGGTTCAGACGATAATGCGTCGTAAGAACCGATCTATTAGTAGTTTTCCGATATCAAAACTAAATAAATTCAACGATGGTCTCGAAACTAGAATCAAGATCATTTGGTTTGATTTGGATTCCTAGAAATTAGAAATGGAATCGATATTTTGAAATTATTATAGGAACTAATTTGTTTTATTATAAATAGTTTTACATGCATTTGAATTGTTGAATACATAGTTGAATGAACCAAGTTCTTCTTATCTATAATTGGAGCTGCACAATCAAAGGATGGAAACATATTATTAATGGATGCGCTCGAAAACCATGCATCTATATACATGATAAGCACTTTCTCTACAAGGCTCAAACCTTATAGAGCTTAATCAATGTATATATACACACACAAAATGGCAGATGCATGCACTGTGCAACATACGTTGTTTGGATGAATGTATGCTTCTGTACATTAATTTCAAGTGCTTCTTCTCAGGGCTTAATGCTTCTTTGAGCTCACACGCATGGCAGGTGAATTGTGCAGTCGTAGCAAATGCAGGTTCTCTTTCTCTCTCTGTTGATGAGAGGGTAGAGTAGTATGATGGGAGTCTTCTTCTTCCTCTATGTGCTGCTGCGCGAGTGGAGGTCGTGGGTGTTGGTTACGGCACGTAGAGGCGGCCGCCGCATTTGCACCGCCAGGCCTCGGGGTAGTACTCGGCGGCGTCCGCTGGCGCCCTTGGCGGGACCGGGACGTGCACCGGCCAGCACGGGGTGCACGCGCCGCACCTCGATGTGCAACGTGGCGGATGCGACCCTGGCCCCATCAGCCCCCTTCGTCTCATTGCCACCACCGCCGTCACCGCGGCCTCGGGCCCCTGCCGCCGCCACCGCCACCCCTGCGGTCACACGATTTCGCCACCCGGCGCAAGTTAGTACGGAGGCGCTCAGCGTTCCTCATCGACCGGCCCGGACCGGCGCATCTTAGCGAGGGAGCGCTTCGCTAAAATGCACCGCCGAGTTCTCAGAACCATTTGATGTAGCCAAATAAGGAATCAGAAGCCACTCTGTCACTTATCTTCAACCTGAGAGCGAGAAGGCTTCGATGAAGAACTCACCTGTGGGTCGAACTTTGTTCTCCAGCTTGTGATCTCTGCAGCGGCAAATGCCATCAACAATGTCAGGAACTCAGAAGGGAAGAAGAGATATAACATCAGCTCGCATGATGGAGTTTGCTCACCTGAACGATCCCTACTGCTGCTGTTTCCTGCAGCGAGACTGAGAACAGAGAAGATAAACAAGAAAGCACAGCACAGAAGGGCCACTTTTGACGCCAATCTTCCTTCAGGGTTCCCTCTCATCCCCATGGACAAGTAAAGCTTCAGAAGAACCAAGCAATGAACATAGACAGGTGATCGATGAACCACAGCTCTGGAGATCTAAAGAGTCTTTTGGAGCTGCAGATCTCCCACCTCTCGAAGAAGACAAGCAGTGAAATCTAGGCACGGCTACGGAGCTGATCGCGGGGCTTTGCTTCGATCGGTGCGCCTGTCTCCAAGCTAGAACGAAAGATCCGCTTGCTGGTTCACAAAGTTCCTCCCAGTTGCTCCACGCTGCAAGGACATGGATTTAAGACTCCTTTTGTTGATAGAGATAGGAAGCAATTATAGCAGCAAACCACACACACACACACACACACACACAGCTACTGTGTATTCATGAAACTATTTGATGAAATAGATAGGAGGATGGCCGGGTCGTGGCGAACTCCATCTGAGCCAATACAGCTGCAGCCAATACAGTCAAACTTGGAATTAAGATTGCGTGTTCCGTCTGATGGCAACCTGAAAGCACGAAATAATGGTTACCTTTTGACCGAAGAACGCTAGCTGTGAACTATCTTTTGCTGCCACCTTTCTCTTTCCGAGGCCCACGGTGATGTTATCGGACCCAACCCTAAAAGAATGAGACGCTCCATCTCACAGTTGCTGTGTCGCACATGCAGGCGAGGGTGTGGCTGTGGATTCGCGAAGAGCAGGTGGACAAGAGGATACACAGTGGGGGGTACTGAGCTTGTCACCTAGCCTTTGTTACAGTCCTCCCCAGGGGGGCACCTTTATTCCTTGCAGGATGCTGATGCATGGCCCCACCCCCCCTGCTCAAATCTAGCAATCCGACAGCCCCACGCACGATGGGAGCTGGAGACTGACCCCCCCCACTCTCTTGTCATAGACTGTGACCTCCCCGGTCGCTGCAGTGAGCCTCAGACTTTACCGAGACTGAGCTGGTACGCCCGAAGCCTTTCCAGCATAAAAGTATCTATGTATATACACTGCCTAGAGAGAGAGAGAGAGAGAGAGACACACACACACACACTCTCTCTCTCTCTCTCTCTCTCTCTCCACAAACTGTAGGTATCAATCTGATCAGTATGGAGAGTGAACCCCCGCTCTCTTGTCATGGACTGTGACAAGCCTGGCTGCTGCATTGTGCCCTCAAACTTCACCAAGATACGTTGAGCTGATTGATACATCAAAAGCATTTTCAGGATAAAAATAAGAACTTGTGCTGCTGATGTCTTCTTACTTAGGTTTGGTCAGGTGTCACAGGATGAATCAGAAATCACTATTAGGAAGAATATGACGCTTAATATTCTCTTGAGAATATTTTTGCTGATGGTTTTGAGATCATTAAACCTGCTATCTGTGTCATTCATTCTGATAAGACACCAAATATTACCTTCTTTATTGCCAAACTTCATGTGCTTTCTCATGGGTAGCTAAAGAGTAGCCACCCTGATAGAGTTGAATGGTGTGACATTTCACCTGTATATAGAGACAGCCCTGCGCAGGGTTCAGCTGCAACCAGGTTCAATGCTCACTCACCTACTGGGGACACATATCAAGCACTTGTCTTGGTTCAATTGGAAATGATTCATTCAGACCTTGTCTTGGTCAAACCTGCATTATTTAAAGTGTCTGAGCTAGCTTTAGGCCATGCATTTCACTTTCTTTAATGATGGCTGAATGGTTTCAGATGGGTCAACGAAGTTCCAATCCAAAGATGTGTAGTTACTTGTGATTGAAGAAATCAGGAGTGTTATGGTTTGATCCTGACTCAAAGGCACAAGGTCGTCCAGGTAAATTCTTAAGGGAGAGATGGATTAGCGAGAGCGAGGTAGGGGTTGGAGAGGACAGTTTCGAGATTGTTGTCAAGCCCTTCGAGTAGTCTCGAGGTGGAGCTGAGGTAGGTTTGATCTTCGTCGAGATCCTGCATAATAGGTCGGTGTCAGGAGATTTCTGACTCAACCACTACCATACTTAAGTATATGAAGAATGAATCTATATCAGGTGGGCTGTTCTCCTCTCGATCTCCTCCTCAGGTGGTCGAGGATCAATTTTTATACATGCGGAGCTAGTAGGAGGGAACTATGACTACAAGGGTCATTCATACCTTTTGCGACGTATTCATGCGAGCGACAAACCCATATAGCACTTAGCGACGCTAGTCTACTTGTTTGGACTCCTATGGCACGACGTCGATTCATACCATCTCATGCGGCACGAGGCTAGTGGGGGATGACTGAGGAGGTGCCAACTGTCAACTCAACCTTCTCCCACCAACTCAACTAGTGTTTGAAATATTTTCCATCAACAAGGATGATCAATCGTAACCTTAATGATGATTTCTCATCATGAGTGATTTTTCTGCCTCCTACGATAGGTTAGCCAAAAAGAAATAGTTTACTGCAATTCAAGAATGTTTTCACGATGATACATTATTGAACCTATAATGGGATCTTTTACCTGAGGAGAAGAAAACCTAATTGGTTCATCTTCTCAAAGACTACACAGCTTATTACAAGTGCAAACAAACATATACTCTCTCTCTTTTATTTGGTTCTTTGAAGATTCTTCATCCATTGTTGATATTTAAAATTCAGATATTGTTATTGAACTCAATGCATTTAGAAACCAACAATCTCATAAATTCCAAAAATATAGTTACAGTGAGTTAGCATCACTTGTACCTTCCTTTTATCAACATCAATAGCTGTAATAAATAGAAATCTATTAGGCAATAAGTTTATGAATTCATGGATCTAAGCTAAAAGCAGATATTCTCTTTCATCCTACATGTATGCCTTCCCTCCGAGTCCATGTGATTTGACTTATTCCAATTATTTGAAGAAGTACTTTCTCTTGTCCACATGCAATATCTGCTATTTTATACCTACTTGAGTTTTTATAAAATGGACATAAACAATGTAAAATATTCAGTATCAAATGTAGAATTTTGATTTATGTTAATACAATGATTCTTAATAACAACTTTCCTCTACTAATAAGCCAAAAAAACTGCATAGCCAAAAATAGTAGTTAATGGGCTTAATTTGGGCCAACCCATTTCATTGAGACTAATGTTAAAGAGGGAAGATTAAAGCTTTAAATATTTGATTAGGAAAGCTTATATATCATCTTTTTTTCCTTTACAAAAGGTAAGTGGCAAAGACATAATTATACTAACAAAGTCTTTACTAGCAAAGCTAACTCACACCATGGGAAAACCTAAGCAAACTCACATGCATTACTTTGACAATTGTCATTTGTGTTTGATGATTATTTCATTAATATACCTTCGGACCATTCAATTTAAGCTTCTGATATCCTTTGTCGGCTAATAAAGATGTTAATTTTAGTTTTATGTTTGATAAAAGGTATATCATATCATCTCAAAGTGACCTTTTATGTTTATAATCTGAATTAACGATCAATTTCGACTTCTTTGCAGCAGATGTAGCCGTTCAAATGCATAGAATCGACTAAATAAGAACAAAGTAATTTTGGTATACATGTCTTTGATTCGAGCATGAAAGAGCAAACCATGAACATACTGCCTTCCATCTCGTAGGACTCGAAGAATAAACTTTCCTTGCGCTTCAAGAATGCAAAGCAAGAAAGACTAAGATGTGAGCACTGATTCGATCACATGGCTTCATCGTGCATCTCATGTTCTCGACTGCCGGAGAAGAGGTCACTGCAAAGCTCCCCGTAGAACCTGCACACCAGATCAACGAAGACAGGAGACGTCAAGCTGTTCCAAGAGCGGAGGAGCTCCTCCACGTCCGTCAGCTCCCTCACCGTCCCATCCTCCACCATCATCTCCACCAGATACTTCTCGAAGCTCCGGCACGCCGCCTCCACCCCTTTGTCTTCTCTGTCCGTCATGCTTGTCGGCGGAGACTCCTCCTTCAGCTACTGCTGCTGCTGCTTCACTTGGGTCCTTTGCAGAGGCTCGAGAAGGAAGCTAATAAGGGGCTGCACAGGGGAGGGTGAGGAGCCGGGAGAGCCTTTTGCATGGCTGGATGAGGAGCTTGGAGTCGAAGGAAGCCAAGGGTAGCATCATACGACGATGGAGTGCGGTGTAAGGAAGAGAAAGGAATGGTTGCTTTACCATTCCACTCTCTCGTTCTCTTCGAGGGTCGGAGCTACGGATGACATGCATGCGTGGGATCGTTTGTTATAGTATTCATGCAGTGTTGGAGTGGAGCTCACTTAGGTTAAATATTTGAGTACAGTTTACATTTTAAGCTTGTTTAAATATTAAAATGTAAATTCTGAAACTCCTTTTAAGGATTTTTTTATAATAAATAATATTATTGATAGAAAAAATATTTATGACCGTCATGAATCGACGTATGATAATATATCCAACAAAGGAAGGACGGATCCGATCAATAATATATATATGTATAAAAACTCTATTAGGTCGATATTTGATCGAAGAACATATGAGGTCTTTTCGACCCATAAGTTTTTTTGTGCATACTAGCTCGAACCAAATTAGATTGATCCGAACATCATCGACATCTCCCTAAAACACTCTTATAATTTTTCTTAAATCATTTATTTATTTGTTATAAGAATCTAAATTGAGCTTAGCCCTGATCAGTACGGTTTAGGTAGGAAAAATCTCAATCTAGGTTTGGATTGGGTTGGATCAAGATTGTGGCTTATAAACCCTAGGTAAGATTTCCCCAATCTTCAATCAACCAAGCTTCTATTTTAGAATCCATGGGCCGACCTAAGCCCACATAACATACCTATGAGGTTGGATTTATATAGGTATCTATGTTTATCCCACTCAATTAAATTAATTTATAATTTTAATTAAATTTGAGATGAATATGAATGAAAAATTAAATATTATTAATTTGTGACATGACGCTCTATTGATTACGTATTATTAAAATGACAGTGGTGTCACATTCACGATCCAATAGATCTAAACAGCTCTTGTGCTGCCACGTGTGACATATACATCATATAAGCCAATAGTTCCGCCTATTGAGCGAACTTGACGTGACATGTCGGTCATTTCACATCTCACGTATTCACCACACAAATGTTATATGGCGTCATATATGCACATCAATACCTTTTTTATTAATAATTTCATTAAAAGTAATCGTGTGTGGTTAATTTTTTTTAGATTATTAATTATTTAATAAGATAAAAAAAATTGATAAAAAATATTATTAAATAAAGTTATGATGATTAAAATGATGAGGAACGTCATGAGTCTTGTGTGGTCATCAGATATATTTGAGATTAAAAAAATATAAGATAATTATGAGATCAATAATATTTTATGGATCTATGTGTTAGGAAAAAATATATACATAAAGTTTATGTTACCGAGATGAAAATGTTAAGATGGATATGTAGAGTTATTAGAAAAAAATAAGAAAAAAATATTTCTATTTGTGAACAATTGTATATCACTTCAGATGCGATAGTAAGAAAAGATAAAATAATTAATGTTAGTGATACGAAAAGAAGTAAAGAAAAACCTAAAATGATCTTAATAGAAACTATAAGTAAAGATTTAAATATTATAAATAATTTGTTTTATAAATTTAACTAAATATATAATTTTTTTTATAAATCTAAAAAAGATCAATATAATCAATCCCAAATAATTAAAATTTACGATATCGTTATTGTTATTGATGTTGTATTATTCAAGGCATAAATATACAGAGATTTGAGCTAATCATTTTGGAGGCATAATAAATTTGGGTGCAACAGCACATTCCTCCCCAACACCTGCAATCAATGATCGCAATGGACCCCTACCGAACTCTTTCTTCCTTGCCGTCTATCAAAACCTCATAGTCACATCCATTTCACTTGTCAAAAGTTCTGATAATGCTATAAAATTGAGATATGGAGGGACTGATTCTTCTAGATTTTTGCCTTTTAAGAAAATGTTTTCTTAGTTCGAACCTATCATCAACGTAGAGACACAAACCCACTCTTCTTCTTCTTCTTCTTCTTTACGCCCCTCTCTTTTCTCTCTATTTATCTCCCTCCACCCTCCAAAACCCATACAAATTTGACCCATAAGAGAGAGAGAGAGAGAGAGAGAGAGAGAGAATCCATCTACTTGTGTATGCTTAGCTCTTCCCCTAGAGAAGGTTAGCAACAGAGAGAGAGAGAGAGAGAATCCATCTACTTGTGTATGCTTAGCTCTTCCCCTAGAGAAGGTTAGGAACACTGCCTCACAACAAAAGATAGGAGACCGATGCAAGATGGAATCCATAGGCTGTTCCTTGCTACCATTTGCTGAGATGATTTAGTGTTTCTGTGAAGGATATCCTTCTCTTGGAGGATTAAGTCACCGTAGATGGGAAATTATAGGTTCAAGCTATCTCATATCATCTCCAACTCTTGGTTCTGCAAGCTTAAAGGTATCGGCAGAGCCAATAGAAGCCACAGCATGCGGCATTCCATGAAGAAAGGCTTGGCTTCTGCATCAACTCTCCCTCCACTTCCACAGCCCAAGCAGCATCACCACCTTCCCAACCGAGCCTCCTCCTACATCCCCACCATAGAGAGAGCAGAGACACCTGCTCGCTCCACAGTCAACGCCATGGCCTCTCCGGCAGACTGCCATTGTTGCCGTCATCATCGTCGTCGCAGTTTAGCCTCCGTGTGCAACGCTGAATCCATGATGCCTGAGATCCCAAACAGTGACGGCTTCCATGCCTCTTCCTTCGTCACCACGGCCGACAGCAGCTTGGAAGTGGCATCGGAGCTCAACCTGCCTCCCATACTAACAAAGCCAGTGAAGAAGAAAGTGCTAAAGCCTGCACCGCATGACGCTCGTGTTTCCACTAAGCATCATCACGGGACAGCGGCAAGGAGATCAGCATCAGGAGTTCATCGCATTAGAATCGGGCAGAACTCTCCCAGGGTTGAGAGCAGGAGGAAGATGGCGATGCGGCAGCGAAGAGCAGTGTCCGAGAGCTTGGTGATCATCAAGTCGTCCTCCAATCCCCGCAGGGACTTCACCAAGTCGATGGTGGAGATGATCGTCGAGAACAACCTGCACGAGCTGAAGGATTTGGAGGAGCTGCTCGCTTGCTACTTGTCACTGAACTCCAAGGAGTATCACGAAGACATCATCAAGGTTTTCGAGCATGTTTGGTTTGCTCTAACTGATCTTAGAATGTAATGCTATGTTCGGCTTCCAAGTTTTCTCCTTCTCCATTGCATGTGTTTGTTCCTTTGCCACCATTGCTGGACAATCACAAAGGAGAGAACACTAGTTTGCTTGCAAGTAGGAGGAGGTCATGATCACCAATCAATTAGTCCCATCCTAAACATCCTTACAACTCAACAAGGCTTGTCATGCCAATCTGTCAATTTGCGGTGGTCCAAGAACTCTACGAAAACCTCTCTCTATCCATGATGAATCTCATGCTCAGGACATGCAAAATGATACTCGGGATTGTGTGGTGGTGAGAGCTTCATCGGGAACACATTTAATCTGTGGTTGATGGCTCGGTTGCACAGATTCGTGGACTCCAAACTTGATGGTTGTTCTTCGGCTCACAACCCAAACAGCTTCACTTTTGTTTTGCATGAATCTATCTAATTCTTTTAGCTGGCTAAGTGCAACAAATCACATATGATCTATTTACTTCGAGATCATATGTACCGCGCCAACTTTAATGTTCCAATTGGGGATGACGAATGACGTCGGTGGTGGCGGACGACAGTGTTACCGAGGGATCGTGGATAAAAAGAGCGACGATAACAAGCGAGGACCGCTTTATATTTGTATCGACGTCGATATAATTGATGAACGACCCTTTCGTTGCTTCTATGTCTCTTTATGTGTTAATTATATCCAAGTTAGGTCATTTAGCTAAATGTGGTAGGTGGCATTCCACCCACCACCTCATATGGATATCTAACTCTTGGCTGACTCAGGTGGAAACAACTACTTCAGTGGATTATTGAATCAGACCTAAACACATTGAAGGATGATGTGGTCACCAAATGTGTGTCATTCAATGCATATGATCTCCATTTATCGAATGTGGAAGCTAACATCAACCTGAAATCTAATGTGATTTATCCACTTCAGTATAGATAGACAGAAGGACACCCAAGGTTTCTGCCAGTACAGGATTCTTATAGGATCAATGATCTTAGTCATCTAATCGCAAAAGAACAATCTTATCATAACATTCTAACATCACATTGTCTGTTTTAATATTAATGTTGACATCACATATATCCCTGTCATAGAAAGATGGGCGGATAGAATCACATACACCAAGTAGATAATGAAGTTTCCTCCTCTTGTGTCCCAAGATAAAAAAGAAATAAAGGAAGCTTTCAGTAAAGCAAACTACCAGAGGGAAGCATGGAAGCAGTAAAGGTTGCTTGTGTCATGGAATGTCAGTACATGAGGCATTGGACTCTATACCATCAAGGATAGTCAAAACTACAAAAAGATGATGAGCTTTGATCAACATGAAAGAGGAAAAAGGGTTCCATACTGATTGGAGTTACTAACAGAGGGCAGAGGAAAAACCCCTGACATCTGAATTCACCAGGAGACCATGTATTTCAGATGTCCTTTTGGTTCTCTTCAGAAGAATTATTCCTGACATCTGAGAAAAAAACATTAAAAATACTTGAGAAATTATGAATTCTATATTTTATTTAAAGATCTTCTTTTTTTTTTAATCATCATAATTCAAAATATTGGTTAGGGTTGGAAGTCTTGGCATGCTTTATTTGCCTTTATGTGGTCTTCATATGTATATGATATGATTAGCTCAGTCTTTGTAGAGCTTGCTTAGTAGATGGAAATAAGGTGGAAAATTTAAGCTCTATTTCATGTCTTTTAAATGCATGCAACTTAAGATAATTCAGATATTTTCCTTCATAATCCATCAAAAGCTGAAAATATGATGTTTTGGATTCTTTGCAACTCTTCACTAAGGTATTTGAAGGCACCTTTCTTGGGTTTATAAGCAGCAGAGTATGCAGTCTTACTCAAAAAAATTGAACTCGGATTATTTACTTGGCAAGGAAATAAGTTTACCATAGCAAATCTAACAATGATATAAAATTCTACGGA